TCTCATCAATAAAAACAACAAGATGCATGATTTGATTTTTGAAAATTTTAGCAAAGTGTGAACCATCTAAAATAGTGTGTTTATAGAATAAATATGTGTTTTATTTGTAGGATTTTGTTGATAGCGAAAAATATTTCATACTTGCAAAAATTGGCATTGCTAATTCTTGTGTGAGATTGATAAGAGTAAGTTTACATAATCGAGGATAGTTACCAGCAAAAAGAATTCGTTCTGCGGAATGTGATTCTAGAATGAGTTGTTCAACAGTCTTATGAATTTGGGGTAGTATATCCAAACAAAGTCGATCTAATATTTGATCAGACAATGAACAATTATCTTCTTCACAGTTTGTTTTTAACAATTCTATAGAACGAGTATAAATCTTATCACGTATTAATTTATTGAATCTTTTGTTAACATTTATAAATGAGTAAAGTACGTCAATTTTGTTCAATTTATTCCATATGATAAGGATGATTTCGTCTGGCAAATCTACAATACTAGCCATTGAATGACTCGTAGTTGTTGAGAATAGAATAATCGTTAATAAAATAAGCAAAGTATCAGTCAGTCATCTATACATATATACGTCGTATCGAAGTTACATCCGTCAGCAAAGTTATAATTTCGTCAAAATTGTGGACGAAGTTACAGCTTCGTCAGATGGTATGATGGAAAAAGGAAGAAGGGAAAATAATAATCATAAGAGGCCGTTATAATAAAATGGTTAAAATATTTCTCTTCTGATTGGCTCATACCGTTAAATGTGTTCATTCTTTAGGTAAAGATATACAAATTGATCTCTCGTTATTTTAGATATATGATGGCCACTATTTCTCAAAAAGGCAAAAAAATGTTGAATATAGACAATTTCATCTTTAAATTGAATAGGACGAGTACAAAAAAATCTTACTGATGCTTAGATCTGCATTGTACTGTAAATGTATGTACTGATCTTGATGATATTATCTTAAGCATTAAAGATGATTATTGTCATCCATCTTAACCAGAAGAAATACGAATTCGAATATTGAAACAAGCTATAAAACGCGTGCTATAAATGAAAGTACGTCTATCCCACAAATTCAGAATGAAAAAGCAGCACAAACTGATCTATCAACATTGCCAATTGCTGCTTTACCTATTAATTATGATAATGGTGATGTTACTCGTAATGAACTTTTAGAAAGATTATCCTTCTCTGTCGCTAAAATATCAAATAAAAAAAATGGACCCTATTATCCTCCATGAAGTGACATTCACCCAAAATGCTTGTTATAATTTAGTTTTATTTTTCATTTACTTAATAAAATTTGTTACAATTTCATAAACATTATTTCTTATTCAGATATTTTAACTTTCGATATTTTATTTTCGATATTTTTCTTCGATATTTATTCTTTCGACATTTTTCCTTTCTTCCTTTTCCCATCTATTCCGTCAGATAACTCTGTCAAATTTGCAACTTTGACATTATCGTTGGATAAAGTTATGATTTCGACGCACATTTTGTCGAAATTATTTGACAAGAACTATATAGTAAATAATTGATGATATTAATATCAAAGCATGCACTTATCGGGGACTCTTCATTTAAAAGCGTATACATTATGGTTTTTACGAACAGTCAAACATTACATTCAGTTATTTACATGACTATAAATCTTTTCAAACGAAAAAGATCTTCAGAATATTACGCTTTGATATGAATAAAGTTTTAACTTTATATTACTAACAAAAATGGTTCATACAGAGATAAGTTAAATGTTCATCAGGCTTCGATTCCTAATAATTCAAACAAAAAACTTCATATCGTTTTACTTCATTGTGTTTACTACATTTCGGTATTATTTATGCATCAATCCGATGTAAATGAGATATAATGAATGATATACTAGCAATCTACTTAGCGTTTTCTTCGTCTACTTTTTTTGACTTTTGTTGGAGCAAATCTCCTCTATTCTAGATGAAAAATATATTTTCAAAAAATAGTTAAAACTGTTGATCGATTATCAATGAGTCAAGGCGCTTTGAAGGTATAGAGTCGATGAAGCGATTAAGAATTTTCCTTGCACACGTAGGATGAGAGTCCCGACAAAAGTATAGATTTCAATCCAGAAACGTTGTCATATTTTTGAACTCAGTATCCGATGAGTTTAGTAGAAGTCAGTATTATCTAGAACTGAAATAGAGACATTTTGATAGAAAAAAAAATTGTTATTGAAGAGTGATGGAGAATCTATTTTCCTAAAAATTCAAAGCATTTTATTAGCTAAGAATGTATCTTGTAAGCAATTGAGGCATTTAAACGTTTTCTTATGAATAAGTAACAAATGTTTTATCATGGCGTACACATTAATCGTGAACGAGTTCATGCTTAGAATGATGCCTTTTGAAAAGAGGTGTTCTACTTTGCTCGAATAGATTTCTTTCTTGGATTTGTAAAACCTACATTCAATTAGTATATTGTTTGTTTGTATCCATCAAAAATGAAAAACTTACAGAGATGCCACTTTTGCTTTAAGGGTGTGGATGTGGCTGGGTTTGGATGCGGGTGCCCGTGTGGGTGCAAGGAGAAAAGTGCTGCACCCAGCACCTCAGCACCTGGTCAGCACCTGCTCGACACCTTTAGTGCATTTCACTATGAGCACCTTCAGCACCTTCACGCGCTTTCCCACAATCTTAAGTGCTTTTCAGCACCTTGCAGTAAAATTTAGTACCCAGGCTCTGCCCTTTAAATTTTATCGCAAGGTGCTGAAAAAGCACTTAAGATAGTAGGGAAGCGCGTGAAGATGCTGAAGGTGTCAAAGGTGCTCATAGTGAAATGCACTAAAGGTGTCGAACAGGTGCTGACTAGGTGCTGAAGGTGCTGAACAGGTGCTGAGGTGCTGGGTGCAGCACTTTCCCCCTTGAGCCAGACTCAATTGCAAACATGACCATAAACGTAAGGTAAATCTGGTTTATTCGTAAAATATTCTAGAACAACATAGTAAATTAAACAGGGACGAAAAATAAAAGTAGTTATGTCAGTTGTAACTTTATAAAATGCACAAAAAACTTCTTATGGATTTTTTTATAATTAGAACTTTAACAAGATATATAAAGCAAGCATAGTACATAAAAGTCCTATGAAATAATAAAAAAGTAAATGAAATATTCCGAAGCCAAATATAACACATACTAAAATAAGAAACACTAGCAATAAAAAAAATTTACTTTTATTTAAAAATGAATGTATTAATGGTGATGATCGTATAGACAAATTTTCATCTTGATTCTGAACCGAATTCGTCTGATTTAGATACATGAATGATGTAAAGATTGATGCTCCTAATTTTTTCAAACAAGTTATAGACATTTCACGTAGTACACATTTTGGTACGAAATTGATCGAGTGATATAATACTTTGGAATGTGAAAATTTGTTTTTTAGGATGAGTGGTTTAACATCATCAAAAAAGTGATCAAAGATAATTTTGATATTTTTTTCTTGTTTAATGAAAAAATTGTTAAACAATTGATTTGTTCGATTGATATCATCGTTAGTGAATGATGGATCAAATGTGCATTTAACAGCATACATAATAAGGTGTTCGTAAAAATGATTTTTTATGTCACTAACAATAGCTGGATACTGTTGAAAGAAATGATCGATTTTAATCTTCAAACTAGTCAGACTTGAATTTTGAACTGGAGCATCGCATTGTAGATTCGAACAGGTAGGAAATGATTGTAAAAAACCATGATTATTCAAATCGTCTAAAACTTCATTCAATTTGGATTTTAAATTATTATCTAAATCCGAATTGTTTGCCATGCTATAGATAATAAGATCTAAAATACAGTACTTCAACATTTTTCAGCTTCTGTTAATATTAAAAAAATGAATATGAATTGCACTACATACGTTTATATTATCTTTTTACTTTGCTTTTAGAATCGAAAAATTGTTAACAAAAAGAAATATTCGTCATGACAACAAGAATAATCTTAGAACGATTTGAGATGTTTTTTCTTTAAAGCAAATATACAACTTTGGCTGAAATTATACAAGATACATAAGTATAACATTATTTTGTATTTTATTATAAAATCATAAAAATAAAGAACTAGATGTTACAAATATGCTTTTGTTACTATCGGTTCAATTCATATCGAATAAAGATCGTTGGGCTAGGGATGCAACGGTAAGGATGAATCACTATGATACACTGTACCTAAGGTGCATCGGTATAGATGTGCTGCCAAATAGTAATACACTTGAAAGTTTTGCTGCTATGGTCAGCGAAATTGCTGAACATGTTTAAAAAACGTATTGTGATGACTAGCGGGTAAACCATTTGACTCAATATAAAATTTTTGGATTTGATTCTTTCGTCAAAGAAAGGCTATGTTGCGAAAGCAACGATTTTTTATGGAATTCGCTGGAACGTCTTCCGGATAGAGATAACTTGATCGAGACACGAAGTGCACAACTTCAAAAACACAAACAAGTAGAAGATTTGAAAAAGTATTTTGATGGAAAGCAGATGAACTTAATTAACCAAGAGAAAACAGCATAAAAATCTACGAAAACTAGATAAATGTTACCTTTAGCATTTTATTTCGACTAGTGAGAAAAAAAAACGACGATAAAGAATAATATGTTGAGCACCAAGTTACTGGAATAACATGTTCTTTTTTTCTTATCTAGTTGCAGTGGAAAAAAAGGCATATCTACTCTCTAGCTAATAATTAAGAGTGACTCCGATAATATATAAAAAACACTTGAATGAATATTTTCGTATGATGCCTACATGCCTATTTCATTTTAATACATACTGACATACCCAAGAATATGAATAATTACTTTTTCAAGTCATGATGTTGTATACACGACTTCATCATTTTAGCTGTATCTATCTTACATACAACACATGTTTTAATATGAGAAAACGAATCAAAAGTCAAAGATAGATAAAAGGAAGGTGAGAATGTTATCACTAGCATGATAACATTCACGTAAAGTGAAGTTAATTTATTCATTGTTTTATTTTTCTCTTTTCTTACATAAAGATAGAATAAAATCCTAGCGCATAATATAAATAAAGAGCGAAGAAATATTTTGTTGTAAAATACTACTCTCATCACTTGAAATTTCAGCCTAGGATTTATTTTCCCACGGCTAACATCAGACAACCAGTGCAAACTCTCACACACCTGTACTATGGTTTCCATGATCAACGATAAGAAGTTGTTTTGTTTTTTCAGATTATCGAAACCGTCAACAACCTTGATAAACATCATAATAATGTCAGCATTACCAAGGTCGTAACTAGAAGTATAAGTCTAACCATTTAGCCGTCGCTGCTGCCCAAAATAGTTGTTGAAGATTGCAGCCGTTGCCGATCAATGCATCGGTTTACACGTCTAGTTATGCCTAGTAGCACTGGCATTGTTGGTACAATCATCGGTGGTTTATCAGCCACACTTGCTAATGATAGTAGTAGTACATTTGACGGCAGCAAGTGATAGAGCTTATTTAGATGTCAATATTGCTAAACATATTTCGACGTAATCACATTATAAGAAATTGAACGAAATTTTTCAAACTGATGAAGCAAATATTTTCCTATTATCTGACTATATTAACCTTTTCAGTCTCAAATTATTGCTGCTGGATTCAATAAAAGTGGACTGTGAGATTTGTTTATTTTGGACATAAACACATTGATATAAATAACTCGCGTGTGCTCTCATGTAATGTGCTCCATATACGCTTGATTCAATTTTGTTATAGTTGAATGGAAATTTTAATTGCTAAAGCTTCTTACTAGCAAAACCTATACAAATTTTTCATGAAATAAGAATAGACAATTTTTATTCTTTTTTACATAAAGAGAAATGCTACAAAAACTGCATCTTATGCTACTAAACACTGGAGAAGCTCTCGTACTACAATATCTGCACCTTCCTTTAGACCCTACAACAGGCATGTGTGCTAATAATTGAGTTGATGAAGATTTGTTCCCGAAAGTTTGTTGATTTTATTTTTTTCTTTCTGATAGAAAAGTAAATAGATCTGCCTCTCCTTTTCCGTTCAATTTGGTCATCAATCAAAACTTTCTCAATGAACGATTATTTATCTCCTTGATAGATAGTCGAGGGAGGATTCTAGAGCGTCCTTTATTGCTTCATTTCAAGACATTAGATAATCATTTTTATAAATTATGTTGTGAAAAATAATTATAAAACATCAGTTACTTTTTTGC